GACAGCGGGAATCCTTGTCTCACACCGTTGGAGATAGTAAAGGGCGACGACAGCTTGCCGTAAGCCCTCAATCTACCCAAGCTACGCGCGTATAATGCTCAGATAATATTTCTCAGGTACACCTTTCCTAAGTAGACAGTCCCAAAGTACACGTCTATCTACAGAATCGAATGCACCTTTGATATCGAGGAACACGACAAAAATATAGTGGGCCGCCAATATAGATGGCGACGCTCCAACAATTGAAGCAAAGTAAAGATGTGGTCAATTCAGCCACGACTTCGACGAAACCCGGCTTGCTCTACACGAATCTGGCTTTCACGAGTGCTAGTCAGTCTGTGGAGGATGACATACGCAAGCAATTTAAAGGCGATGGAGATCAGACTGATTCATCTATGGTTGCCGCATTCCGATCGTGAGCCTCTCTTGAAAATTGAAACTATAACGGAGCGGCCTCAGTCGGTTGGGACAGTTGTCCCCTTCCACTCGTATAAATCATCCAACAGAGCAGGTCCACCGAATTTGAAGAGGGCTGGAGGTAGATCATCTGGTCCCGCGGCTTTACGTAACTTTAACAGTCCCAATGCACGTTTTACTTCTGAGCGAGAGGGTGGATAAAAACGGATAGCCCACGGAGTGGAGAAATCACTGGCCGGCAAGAAATCTAACAATTCTGACCGATTAAATTGCCTTTCAAAGTGCTCAGCCCAACGCTCCAAGCGTTTTGACAAGTTGTGGATAGGCTGTCCACTCTCGTCACTTATAGTTTCACTAACACCAGGTCTCCTGCTGCACGTTTCCCGTATCAGACGGAATAACTCATGATGGTTACCAAGGGCAGCGGCCATTTCCATCTCTGATGCACGATGAGACCACCAGGATTCGTGGTCTCTCTTCAAGCTAGCCCGGAGCTCTTTGCGAATTTCATTGTGTTCGCTTCCAGTCGGAATATGTCGGCGAGCATCTATAAGTTCCAGAGACTGCGAAGAGACCCAATGTCCATGTTGACGATTAGACTTACCACATGAGAATTTTCCTGCTGCTAGTAAGGTCTGATGAATATGAGACCAGTGAGCGCTTAGTCAACTCGCATGACAGCGTACTTTGATAGGCATTCGGAACAGCTGGCTTCGCTGGTTGGCTGGTGTCAATGTGGTCACAACGTCGTCGTGGGCGTCCGCCAAAGCGCATCCGCAGATCAGTACATACAAGTGCATGGTCGGTGTCCACACATGTGCTCCAAATCGAGCGACAGTTCTGGAACCAGCCCCCCAGCGGTAACTGATCGCAATGTGATCGATTTGCGTCCATAGCTGGTTCGAGCCTAGTGGGCACCAAGTCACCCTCCGGCGGATGCTGTGTCGAAAATTAGTGCTCGCAAGAAATAAGCGAGCATCCTCACACAAATGAAGAAACCGCTCACCGTTATCATTACGGGAGCCTACACCATGTTGGCCGCCCAGATGCAGATCATCAGTGGATAATTTCCAACTTGAGCGGTTAGATCCTCAGCCAGCACTACAGGGTCTGATCCTTTTCTATGGCGAAAAAGCTCGTTCAGTTGACGAGAGAAGTCGTCTTTTACCGAGTCATCGCTACAGATTGTGAGCGCATAGGCAGTGATAACGAAGAGACACCTGTTAGTCCCGTGCGGTTTCGAAGCTTTGAACGAACCAGCCAGTCGGACCGCACACGTCCGGCTGCTGATTGGGATCCAATCAACCAGAGTAACTTCAGCCCGGGGACTCAGGGCAATACCAACACAGGCTTGGCCGGTACTCGAAGCTGCATCGTCACCGGATAGGCGCAATGAGAACGTGCTGCTATTGTCACCTGAAGGGGATCGCAGAGTGAGCATAGAGCTCGAGTCTTGCAGGCGGGTCTCCGATAAGCAGCAGATATCGATCAAGAGGGTCTCTAATGCTCGGGCAAGTGCTGCCTGTTGACCGATCTGCAGCAATGTGTGTACATTGAGGCATGCCGATCTGAAGGAGAATCGAGGGCTCCAAATGGAAGCCGATGAACTGGGCTTGATCGCTTGCTTAGACATGGGCCTGTTGACAGGGCAGGAATGACGCTCCGCGTTCACATGTGAGTTGAAGCTAGAAGACAAGCGACTATTGGAGCAAGCTAGGGCAGGGCCAAGAATTGGGGGGTTGAAAATGGGGGGGGATAAAAGTGAAACTGGAATGGGACGATAAGGGTGAAAAAGCGTAAGAGGGGAAATAAGAAGATGGAAAGGCTTCAGCAGTAGCATCCATACCCCTATCCACCCTGCTCGATGCAGCAGATAGGGCGCCGTTTATTATCCTCTGCGACGGCCAGAGCATCAGGAAATTGTTTGAGGAAGGGTTCATTGTATTGCGTGGGCAGAATACTGTCAGGTTGCCCAGGCCTAGACAGGAGAACCATTAGGGTTCTCAACCAAAGCCTTTGGTTCAGAAACCTTACCGCAAGACAGCGGGTTTGGCGTTGGGATACAAGAAGTCCGTTTTAAGGAATAAGGAGCTACCGTCATTCCAACCCAGAACCTGGAGGACCAGGAGGCTGAGTTTGTCTGGCCTCTAACCATTGACCAATCTGGTATGAGTGGCTCTGAAGGTGCAAAAAGCACCACCCAGCATAGCTCAATGGATCACTGAGGCACACAAACCATGGCAGCATGGTAAAGTCCAGCGTCATTGCGATAGCATTCCTTGCCGCAATGGAACCTAGCTCGGTTTGACCCGTTCTGTCGTTTCGGGGAGCACTGGGCCGCCGCGGCTTACTGGTTTCGATCAGAATGCAAATCAATGGCAATAAGGCTCATGAGTCGCTAACTGGTGGATGATGTGATAAGACTACTTTTAACGACGTGGATAACGGTTGAAAACCAAACTGAAGCCACGTAAGTAGTGCAATGTAGAGGGCTGGATAGAGTGGAAGTAACCACGATCGATGCGGAGCAATCCATGATGGAGTGGCAGAAGACCGGAAGGATAAAACGTCTGCGTTGAAATCCGAGGGTCACCGGTTTGAATACCTGTAGGTTTGTACGCGACCCAGAGGCATGCCCAGTCTATAGGTGACTTGTGATAGTCGCGCGCCACCGCAGCGTCGGTGCGATATACGGGCGTCCTATGGATACCCACTACTTCTTTCCGCATTAATGATGTGAAGTTCGATTGCAGACAGCACGCCGTACTTCATCAATTCGTTGATGTCAGCATAGTGGTCGCTGTGTAAATGCGAACCAAGGCGTGTTGGGAATTAAAGAGGACACACTAAATCAAGTGATAATCTCACGTTTACGTCTGCCACCAACGGACGGTAAAGATACGGTCAATATAAGTTCAGTTCATTGTTTCGCACAGTGGGTACATTTATGACGATATGGATTTTTGTGTAGGAGTGCTGTTGCTGCGGAGACGATCGTAAGTAGTAAATAATTGAAGAAATAGATCGCAATTAGCAGTACGACAGGTGGTGATCTCCGAGAGGCCTTTGAGGTGGCGGCCGGTCTCTGAAATGTATCCAAATAGAGCATTCGTATTGTCGCCAACACTCCGTATGTCGGTAATTATGGACCTGCGTATAAGAGATGAGAGCTCAGGATAGTTTGTTCTTGACTGCCTAAGAAATGCGATTTGCCAGAACACATAATTAAATAACAAAAAGATCCCTTGCCTCCAGCCACCGCTTATTAACGCTGCTTGACTCGCACACATGCAGCTGTTCGATGAATTCCGCTTAAACACAGCTCCATGTGCATATGTGTTTAAAGTAACTGCGAAGGTTTGAATACACCGAGCCGTTGACTCAGTGTTGTCAGAAGTAGGGGGAATATAGCCGACAACGTGGATTAGTTGAAGATTCGTTTCAAAGTTGATGCTTTGTATGCGTCTTCAACAAACGCATACACACAGCTACTTTAGTAAAGTGTTGAGCGACACTGGTGATACACACTGAACGATGTGACACAGAGTGCAAGCGTTGAGGGAACCAGTGTGAAATGAAATCCTAAGACTGGAAAACGATTTAGACGAAGCAGTAGAATAGGATGTTAAGCTAGACACGTTCTAATGGATTTTTAACTACTCAAACACTTGTGGAGACTATGTGATAGTAGTGATCTGGTAAGAGCGAAGTGCACACAGCGCTAGCGCTACTATGTGGATCAGAGGTGTGGCTTCTGCGGGTTAAGGACACTAAAAGACTGATTACCTGAACCCCAAACCCTGCAAAGTACTGCTCGTATCTGGTTGCAGCGCCGAGTGAGTGACGCTGAGGTTTGTCCGTGGGTGTTCGGTAACAAACCATCTGGCGCTGTCGATCCATGTACACTAGAACTGCCTGCATTGGCAGAATCGAGTTTCATGAATTCCCGTCCTTTACCTATCTCAATGTATCCACTTCCCGGACAGTACGCCCGATTGAATAAAGCTTCTATCTAACCAACTGAATACATGAGAAGAGAATGGAAAAACTGCCCAGATGATGCATCTATCTTCCTGCATGCGGTCCGAGATAAAGTTGCATTAGTTGTAAAATGTCCCATCTGACATGACCCAATCGCAAAGTTAATGGGTCTGTCGCAATCGGTGTGGCACCTCTATCCATCAACGTCATCATCCAACAATGTCCCATCATCACCATACGTTTTTTCCTTATCTTCGTCTACACAGCTACCTCCATTCTTCCCCTCGATTTCCCACAGTTGCAGTTATCACCATAAGTATGGCGCAACGGATCAAATCAAGGGAACCGGATCCAATGTACTTTGGCGATCGGGCCGCAGTTTATTGACGAAACTGAGCTGAATAAATTGAAATGCACCCGCATCGTGGATCGTGGCAAATAATGCAGTGTGTTTGCCTACACAGAGTAGTTGCAACGTGTCTAGCAGAAGTCGAATCAACCGCCTCCATGAGAATCTCAATCGAATTATAACTGATACGTTAAAGAATAGTGACTGAAAATAAGGCGGGAATAAGGCGACAAAAAGCAAACAGTTGACTTGCCCAGCGATGAGATGAGTCCCAGCTCCGTTGAAGCATACACTGTAAGTTTGGCCAGATAAATCCCCAATATCGATTGTTTGGTCTATGAAGTGTGTTCCAGTAATGTTCACGAGATGGACTGGGAAAAGACCGTAAGTTAACTGTGGCATAATTACAAATGGCAAAAACTTGAAGGAAACTACACATTTGTAGCATGAAGCCTGAGTGTAGCAAAATTTGAGTCAAATGATCAAATTCAAACAAGAGCTAACATAGATTATATGAAGGGTCAGATTAGAGGATAATTAACTACGAAATGTGGAAGAGCCGTCAGTCCCGAAAATGACCCAGTAACACGGGTACACAACATACAATCCGACTAGTAAATTTCTTTCCACTCGATATGCATCAAATTAATTCAATCGTTCCGTAAGGTTCCTTATATGATCCCGTCCTGCCACCGAGTGACCATCCAGGCGATTCATAGAACTAAGTGACGAAATGGGAAACAATAACAGCGCCTACATATTCCGCTTATCAGACAAGAATGGGTCAACGCCCTCGTCATCATCTGACCCGTCAGCTATACACTGCAATTCCACTCAGTTAGATATTTGGCAGAAAATAAATAAAATAAAAACACAATAATACGCTTCGTTCGGTCATGTAGCGAGAATCAGATGGTGGATAGTTAGAAGTTAAGCGGGATGAGACGGGATAAAGATACACACAAGAATGACACTGAGTTTGGCTCTTCGTCATGTCAACAAGCGCATACAACCGAACGCATTCATCGTCATACAAATCCCAACTAGAAAGTCGAAAGACTCCAACCAATAACAAGTTCGACGGCAAAGCTCTCATACCTCCTAACCAAATCATCGACTGGACCCCTTTACTCTGCTTACTCCCAAACCCAGATCGCGCAAGCTACGCACGTCGCAGGGGCCAGTGTGATGGCATGCGCAATATATATGCCGACCATCGGAGCCTGGTGCGCGAAATAATGGTGCTGAGCAGTTCATTAGTTCTTTCTAAACTATAATCAACACACCAAGCACGCCCATTGCTCTCGTGATGTTCCAAACAGGCGTGAATTACATTTTGAAGGCACTGAGTCGAATTCAACTAGCTTGTTCACGTCCGTTGATCTGTTAAGTCAAGCTTGACAACCGTGTCACAGAGTTGGATGGGCGGCAATATTGTGGGTGAGTGTGATGTTTTGGCAGCGTCATGGGTGGTAAGCGATTTTCGACCTCACCTTTTATCTCACAGAATCAGTTATAAATTTCAGAACGATTTCTAACTGATCCTCACTAAGAGTCAGCACAGGGAATGATCCCTACAGATCATGGAGTACAGGTTTACACTTCAAGGGCGCCAGTGCTATCATGCCCAGTGTAGCTTGGCAAATTTGTAAATTATCATACCTTAAGGCAAAATAGCAGATCATCTGGAGGCAGCTCCACACCTTACTAAGTGGAGTATAGTAAACACAGTTTCACGAACTTCATCAAGAAAACAGAAAAGATGACAGTGAACATCTTTGTTTCACATCTCCAGAGATATTAAAAAGCGGCAACAGTTTGTCATAAAGTTCTCACCCGAAATCGCTCTTGAAGGATTCATGTATTTCCCGGACACACCTTTATTAACCGGACAGCCCCAAAGAGCACATTGAGCTACTCGGGGAACACGACTAGGAGCGTCACTGATTGGGAAGCTCCAACAACTGACGTAAGATGAAAACATGGTCAATAAAGTCTCGATTTCAAAGAAACCCCGTCTGCTCTTCGCGAATGACTTTCAATAGAGTCCTTAAGTTTATAAATAATAACAGAGGCAAGCAACCTAGATGTGATGGAGATTGGACTGATTTTTCTATGTTTTTCGCATTCCGAATGTAAAACCCCCTTAAAAATGAAACTATAACAGAGCACTAACAGATTGTGACGCCTTCCTGTCACCAGTTTCATTAAGAAACTGTGTAAATCAGTTACCAAAACTAATCTCAAGTTATAGAGGGCTGGAAAAAAGCTACCTAGTTCAGCGACTTTATTCAATTTTAGCAGCCTGATGTCACATTCAAATGCTGAGCGCGAGGTTGAATACAAAAGAACGGTCCAAGAAGCTGGACAATAACTAGTAGCATGGAAGCTGGTAATTCCGGCCGCCTAAATTGCTATTCAAAGTGTACAACCCAATGCTTAAATCATTTTGACATGTTGAGGATATGCTGGTTCCTTTAGTTTAATGGTTTCGTTAACATTAAGTCTCCCAATTCTCACTTCTTGTAAACGGAATAACCAAAAGAAATCGCCGTTTTCATTTCCGATGCACGATAAAGAGCTAAATAAAAAGGCACCGGTAGTCGAATTCAAATAGCCTCTTTAGGTTGGCCGATCTGATGGGCCATATTCCGCAACCGTATAGTGCGGTTTGGCAGGCAGTTACATTGTGGACTCCATATTTCACAATGACTGATGTCGTGCGCACGACAGAATACTGGCGAAAGCATCCCGCGAGCTTATATTCAATTTCTCAGATTCTGATGTAGCTGCCAAAACAGTTGAATCCCTGAATGACTTCTAGCTGATTACCACTAAGGATCAGTGCAGAATGTGTTCTTTGTCAACTTTGTATGTTAGCCCTTGATTTAAAGGGCACGAGGAATGGTCCAAACGGTCGACGGCCAGTGGTGATCCAACACGATTTGATATGCTTTTAGGCTGTCAAAGGTTAGGGAAATATTGTTGGCATACTCCAAATCAAATCGATCACCTGGAAGCAACTCAACATCTCCCAAGTCGTGTCTAGTGAATGCGGCCTCCATAAACCCGTCAACAGCGGAGTTAAAAAGAAAAAACTCGTCAGCTTTACGCCGTAACGGCGCTTCGATGCCGCGTGATCACCATCAGTCGCACTTGGTCTGACTATACAGCGAGGACGTCCACCCCCATGCAGATTCGAACCATTGACTTCATGACTGCAAGCCAGACGTGTAGACCAATCAGCCATCGGCAGACAAAAAAGAAAAGGTTACAGTAGGCATCTCTGTCTCACACAAATGGAGATACAGAAGGGCGGTGATCGTTTGCTATAAGTCCTAAGATAGTAAGAAACGCCAGATTGCGTGCTAGAGTACAAATCGCACACCGAAAGTTATTAATCGGGACGAACGCCAAGCAAGAGGGCAGATGATCATACCTAATAGCATCAGCGAAACCGGTACCATAATTACGTCCAAAGACGCAGGGATTATCAACAAAGATATCTGGCAGACTATAAAAGCGCGTGAGCAGCGAAGAATGCAGTAGCAGCAGATGTGGCAACTCTAATGTCGGCCAATGGCCAAAGGACTACACGCCTGGATTGTAATCCTTAGGTCTCCGATTCGAATTAACGTAGGTGCGGGTGACCACGTAGTATATCAAGCGCTCGCGCGACCGGCAGTGGTCGAGTGGCACCGTAACATCGATAGTGTACTGGTGTCTGCTGATGCCGTTTTTAACGTTTTACTTGCTGTGGAGAACTCTTGTGTTTGTCTGTAGACCCTCACAAGGCAAAGCATTATCATAAGGATGTATAATCGACTGAACAATAAGCAGCCTTAAAGTCAAGGAAGACTACCGTTATAAGTTTTTGATATGCCACCGTTGGCAGGTAGCCGAGTTGGTCTACACGCCTGGCTTGCAAGCATAAGGTCACTGGTACGAATCCGCGTAGGGGCAGGTGTCCTCGCGGTATACACAGCCCACGCGCGACTGGTGGTGTTCGCGCGGCAGCGAAGCGCCGTTACGGCGTACAGCTGACATGTTATTTTATTATTAAGCATGGTATCGTTCGATAACCTGACGTAGAGTAAATGTGCGGGTCGATATATGCCCAACCGGGGTGGAAACCAGCCTGGATTTCGTTGATTTGTCTCTCGCGAGGATCAGTAAGCCGTTGCAGCATGATGCGCTTGGAAGTTTGGAGACTATTCAGATCAGACTAATACGTGGATTCCTCCGACTCAGTGAAGATGGGATTGACGAGTGGCGACCATCAAACAAAATTATTCGTAAGGGAGTTCAACGTATCAGCTATCACCATCATTATACACATCAGCTAGAGGTGGGGGAACACCCCAGCTACTGTATCGTAATACATAAAAAAGGAAAAATGCAACAGATGCAAGTCAGCTGAGCTACCGGTAACGGATGGGCATCGTTTCAGTAAGCTAACAGCCGGCTACTATGTAGCTGGAAAATTTACAATGCAAAATTATATAAGGCCAGATAGTGAGATGGTAGTTGGAGGGGGAGGCTAAGAGAGATGGGAAAGGTAAAAGAAACTCAGCACGAACGCCACTGAGGTCGGTTCCCAGCCATATCAGCAAGTGTATCCAGCCAAACATGTTCATCGTCTTTCGGACTCCAACCAGGGAGGCGAGACGTTGCAACCGTATCGGCGGGCTGCACTTGTGGACGTAGCTAAGATCTGACCTCAGTGGCGTTTGTGATGTGAGTTGCTTTGTCCCTCCCGCTCCCACTTAGCCTCCTCCTCCAACCATGCTCTCATTTATGACGCATATAATCTTTTTCGCGGCATAATAACTGGCTACTAGCTATTCGGAACGATGTCCTTCCGTTACTGATGGCGCAGCTAGCGTGCCTGGGTTGCGTTTTTTCCTTATTGTGTATCGGGATACAATAGCTGAGGTTTTTAACACCTCTAGCTTAGGTGGATAAGAATAACAATATACCACCAAGCAGAAGATAAGTGCTCTCTGCGTCAAATGGCGTCGGACTGGAAGGCTAATGCAGTCATTAGTGAGCCTCCACCGTCCTGCAAAAAATAATACTAAAACGGACATTGTAAGACCCTTAACTATTAACCTGTATACAATGAGTGGCTCGGAAAACACCTGCAAGGCGCCATTCAGTGCAGCTCAATGAATGACGAAGGTATGCAAACCATCGCAACAAGTTAAGATCCAGTCTTTTCAAGATGGATTAAGCCTTTCAACATAAGTGACGAGACTGGACCTTGAGGCGGTGCGACAGCTTGCGAACTCTGTTAACAATTGAGCTACAGCATCATCATAATTACTCGTCAGCTGAAAATGAGAAACACGTCAGATATGGTGTTGTAATA